AGAAACTGAAGCACAGAGCGCTGCAGGCAAACTGTTCCCAAGCTGCACAGCTATAAGTGCTGGAGCCAGGACTTGAGCCGAGGCAGCGGGCCTCTGGAGCCTCCGCTCTTCTCACCATGCCCCTCCTACGGGAAAGACGGGAAGGGAGGACACGAGGGCTGGAGAAGGTGGGAGATGGAGGGCCACAGAGGCGTGTTCGCCCGAGGCAGGGACCCTTCAGATTCTACCTGGCTGTGACACCTTAGGTGCTTTCTATTCTGAGAAGTTGCCGGGACTGAGTGGGGCTGGGCGAATCGTGGTCCTCAACACCAATCTGTACTACAGCAACAATGAGCAGACGGCTGGCATGGCGGACCCCGGCCAGCAGTTCCGGTGGCTGGAAGATGTGCTGACCCGGGCGTCCCAAGCTAAGGAGATGGTAAGGGCTCCCACCTCCACCTGCTACCTCTCTGGGATCACTTCCTGAGCAAGTCTCCCACCTCTGCACAAACTCAGCCACTCACTCAAGGGGCCCACAGTGATATCGCTGAGGGTCCTTCATCAGCCTGGCGCCTAGAGGGGCCTTTCCCATCCTCACGGCAGCCTGGGAAAAAGAGAAGGGTACTCCAGGTGGCAGGCTTAGCCTGCGCGAAGGCACGAGGTGGGAAACCTGGTAAAATCATTGCTGGGGCCTCAGAGTGCTGGCATCTGCCTGGGGGCGGGCTTTGGGGGGACCTTGGAGCCTGTCTGCTTGCCTCTGGCGAGAGGGGCAGGTGTTGCGAGGTGGAAGTGAGGGGCCGGCGGGGGCACCCCTGAGCCCCTCCTGGGCACCCTTTCCTTGCAGGTGTACATTATTGGCCACGTGCCGCCGGGCTTCTTCGAGAAGACGCGGAACAAAGCGTGGTTCCGGGAGGGCTTCAATGAGGAGTACCTGAAGGTGGTCCGGAAGCACCATCGAGTCATCGCAGGGCAGTTCTTCGGGCACCACCACACCGACAGCTTCCGGATGTTCTATGATGATGCAGGTACTCGCCGTGGAGGACAGCTGCCTGCCCACCCCCCTCCTCCTCTTGCCAGCCTCTCTCTCAGTCCCATGGTCTCTCTCCTGAAAGGTGCTCCCATCAGTGTCATGTTCCTTACCCCTGGAGTCACCCCATGGAAAACCACCTTACCTGGAGTGGTCAACGGGGCCAACAATCCAGGCATCCGGGTATTTGAATACGACCGAGCCACACTGAGCCTGCAGGTCAGGAGCCCTGGGTCTGCTGGGGCCGGAGGGGGAGGATGGGGAGGGACCTGAATGTATCACAGCCTTGCCTAACTCCTTCCAGCTAATCCACCCTCTTCTAGAGCTCAGGTTCCCTTGAACCACTCCAAATCTGCAACCAAGTCAGGTCAATTCTTTGTCCCCAAATCTCCCTTCACCCTAGATCACAGCCTCCTACCTGGCCTCCCTACCTCTAGCCCTGCCCTGCTGTAGCTCATCTACTACATACTACAGCAGGCACTAATCTTTTTAAAGCACTTGTCTCTCTCCTGCTCAAAAACCTTCAATGGCTCCCCGGCGCCCACAAGATAAGCTGGATCTCTTTGGCCTGGTGTTCAAGGCCTCCTGCAGTGTGACCTCATGCCCATTGCCCACCTCATGCCTACACCGACTAGGCCTCAGCCAAAGCAGGCACCTAACTCATCGAGCAACCCCTCATTTTGTGGGATGGGCTTGTGATTGCTGAAATGGCAAAGAAATAGTATTCCTTAATTTATTCAACAAAATGTACTAAGCATCTACCATGAGCCGGGCCCTGTGTTGAGCTCAGGAGTTATGTAAGTGAACAGTGACAAAGTCACCACTGTCCTGGAGCTGACGTTCTTATAGGAGACACACAATAAATAATAAGGAACGTTAAGTATGGCGTGGAGAGAAGCACTAAGGACAAAGCAGAGTGAGGGGGCAGGTGTGCCCGTTGTTGGGTGTGTGTGCACACGCACGTGCATGCTGTGAGGTGGGTGGGACAGAAGTGTCACTGATAGGGTGACATGTGAATTCTGAGTAAACTGAGGGAGGGAGCCACTCGGGTATCTGGGGAAGGCGGAGGACAGAGCAAGTCAGATGCCCTGGGTGGGACTGTGCTTGGTGTGTCAGGCGAGAGCGAGGAGGTCGTGGCTGCAGAGGACGGCACAAGGGGAGGGTGGGAGGGACGAGGTCAGATCCCATCAACCGTGATTAGGACTCTGGATCTGGAGGGTTTGGGGCAGAATTAAATATTCTGACTTACAATATTACAAACTCACCCCGCCAGCTATGCAGAGAACAAGCTGTAGGGGGCAAGGGCAGAGATGGGGGTGGGGGGAGGGTGAGTTAGGAAGTGACCACGATAACCACCGAGGGGTGCCAGTGGCATGGGCCAGGGGGTGGCAGTGGGGCAGCGAGATGCCCCAGATCCTGGATGTCTGCTGAAGGCAGAGAAGGCAGGATTTGCTGGTGGGCTGGATGAGGGTGTGAGAGAAAGAGAGGAGCCAAGCTTTGGCCTCAGCGCCTGGAGGGGTGAAGCTGCCCTTTACTGAACTGGGATCACTGTGGGACGAGCAGGTTTCAGAGGGAAGATCAGAAGTCTGGTTTGGGACCTGTTAACTTGGCGAGGTCTAAGTGGTGTCCCAGTGAAAATGCCCAGGACGAGGCAGCTGGGTATCAAGTTGGAGGCCCTGGAAGAGGAGGGTATAGAGATTTAATCGGGTGATTGAGAGAGGACACTTAAAACCAGGGACTGGATGGGATGACCTAGGTCCTTGTGTACACAGAGAAGAGGTCTGAGGTCTTTCAAGAGTGTGGCCTATTGTCCACATGGGCACTCAGAGGGCCTTAGCAGAGGAGTCACCAGCTGGTTCCCCGTGCCCTCCACCCCCAACGTGCCTTCCCAGGAAAGGAGGCAGACAGGCCTGGGTTTGAATCCTGGCTCCACCCCTCATGAGATTTTTGACCTCTTCCTGCCTCTGTTCATCTGTAAAATGGGAGTAACAGTTCCTCACAGGGTTTGGAGAGCACGGAATGAAATAAGGTAACGTGCCTCAGGGGGAAGCTGCCCTCCATACATGGCAGCTCCTCTTAGCCCACGGCTGGTGACCTGAGGCAGGCCCACAAATTTAAGTGGAAAGCCTCAGACAGATAAGCCTTTCCAGATTCTAGTTCTGAAGATGCATCTGATCCTAGGAGTCTTGGGTGTATCTCAAACCCTCCTCAACCACAATTCCATAACCTCTTTCAGCCAGGCACTCCCTGACACTTCTTTAAGTTGCTTTTTATCCATTAATTCTGTAAATATTTACTGAGCTTCTCTGCGTACCTGGGACAGAAAATGAGTAGGCCACGGAGTTAACAACCTGGATTCCAGGGGCGCCTGGGTAGCTCGGTTGTTAAGCGTCTGCCTTGGGCTCCGGTCATGATCCCGGGGTCCTGGGATCGAAACCCGCATGGGGCTCCCTGCTCCGCAGGAAGCCTGCTTCTCCCTCTCCCACTCCCCCTGCTTGTGTTCCTTCTCTCTCTCTGTCAAACAAACAAACAAACAAAAAAACCAACCTGGATTCCAAACCCGCCTCTGCCACTAAACACCTGTAGGACTCTGGACAAATGAATTAACTAACCTCTTTAGGACTCAGTTTCCTCATCTGTGAAATGGGGGTAGTAAGTGCAGTTACCGCATCAGCATACCAGGCATACCCCGCAAGTAGGAAATGCTCACCAGCAGCAGTGATTGTTAGAGCTATAAAGAATCGGGGGGGGGGGGGGGCATTCGAGGTGTAGGATTGGGGGGGGTGGAAGCTGCCAGCACCTCACGGCCTGCCCCCCTCACGCCCTCTCTCCAGGACATGGTGACCTACTTCGTGAACCTGAGCCAGGCTAACGCGCTGGGGACCCCGCTCTGGAAGCTCGAGTACCGGCTCACCGAGGCCTACCGGGTGCCCGACGCAAGCGCCCGCTCCATGCACGCGGCGCTGGGCCGCATCGCCGACGACCCCGGCGCGCTGCAGCGCTACTACGTCTACAACTCCGTCAGCTACGACCGCGAGGCCTGCGGCCCGGCCTGCCGCGCCGAGCACGTGTGCGCGCTGCGCGAGGTGGCCTTCGACGCGTACGCCGCCTGCCTGCGCGCCCCCGGCGCCGCGCCCGCGCCCGGGCTCGCGCTCCTGCTCGCGGCGCTGCTGGGCGGGCGCGCGCTGCTCGCGCCCTGAGCCGGGGGCGCCCGCCGGCCGCTCCCCCGCGGGGCCACGGCGCCACACGTGTCCGGCGGCCGCAGCGGGACCTGGCGTGGAGCAGCCGCGTCAGGAATGGAAGCGCCCAAGACCTCCCCCCACCCCGGCACATCTTTTTTCTTTTCCAAGTTAAATCCAAAAAACAGTGCTCCTGGAGCATCTTATTCTGTGCATTTTCCCTTTTCATATGTAAACAATGCTTCTGGCAACTCCCGTACAGTTACTGAACAGTTATTGAACGCCCCCCCCACCCCCGGCCCCCCTGCATTTGGATAATCGGAGTTGAGCCCCGGGAAGATGCGCCTTAGGGATCCCGTGCCCTCGTTCTCCCCGGCCCTCGCTCGAACTCGAGGCACACTCTGCGAAGTCCCGCAATCGGGGATCAGAACGGGCCTTCTTGTTTTGCCACAAGGCGGACGTGAGGGGTCGCGGTCCAACCCCGGGCGCTACTCCCCGGGCCATTTCCGTCGTCTGCGGCCTTCTTTCGCCTCAATTGCAACGCGAGGCAATTAGAAGTCGGCCGAGCTAAGGAAGGGCGGTGTGGCCGGGCCGGGCCGGGCCGTCTTCGGGCCTGGCGGTCCTCGGGGCTCAGCGGGGCTGCGTGCGGGTAAGGGCCACGGCCGGGGGCGGCCTTCTGGGGCGCAGACGGGCAGGGGTGGGGAGCACCGGCGACCCCTGCCGCGGGGGCCGCGGGGGCCGCGGGGCCTTGCTCCGCCCCGGACAGGGCGGGACGGGGAAGTCCCGCCCAGGAGGCCCGGGCCCTGGGCGGCCCCTAGGGCTGCGCCTGCCTCCTTCCTGCCGCGGCGACCCCGGGCGGGGAGGGCGGGTCGGAGCCTAGAGGAGAGGCGGGGGCGAGGCGGGCGGGTCATGCCTTGGTTGCCCCGCGCCGCGCTCCTTTGGGACGTGGTCCTGGGCTTTTTGGGCACCGCCGCCTTCCTGATCGACCTGGGCGCCGACCTGTGGGCCGCGGGCCAGTATGTGCTCAGCGGCCGCTACCTGTGGGCCGCGCTGGTGCTGGCGCTGCTGGGCCTCGCCTCGGTGGCGCTGCAGCTCTTCAGCTGGGTCTGGTTGCGCGCCGACCCCGCCGGCTTGCACGCGCCGCAGCCCCCCGGCCGCTGCCTGGCGCTGCTGCATCTCTTGCAGCTGGGCTACCTGTACAGGTGAGCACCACGCCCTCGGGAAGAGGGAAGCGGAACGGAGCCCGGCGGCACCTGCGGCCGGGCTGCTAGCGCCGGGGAGAGCCTGACACCGGGAAGGGGGTGGGAAGGAGAGGATCGGGGGCCCAGGAGAGCAAGCTAAGCCCTTGTGGGCACTTCTGCTGACAGGTGAGCGCCCCCCCGCCCCGCCCCGAAGAAAGAGAGGCCGGCCGAGAGCCCTCAGAGCCCATCTAGCCCTACCCTCCCTGGCACTGGGGAAGAAACTGAAGCCCAGAGAAGAAAAGGAGGCACAGGATTTGGAGTCAGACCTGTCTGGGCTCCCGTGCTAGCTAATTTGCCATCTGTGGCCTCATTCCTGCGTTCTCTAAGCCTCAGTTTCCTCCTCTGTGAAAAGGCGGCAGGAACGTAGAGACAGGTGTGGCAGGCGGGCCTGTTGTGGGGAGTGAAAGCAAGAGCCGAGTGTGCCTAGCTTGGTGCTTGGCTGTTGGTGGACTCTCGTGTAATGGCAGACCGGTGATGTGTTTCATACAAAAAATGTTCCTTTTTGTTGTGGGTGGAGCCTTGGGCAAGTCACTTGAGCCCTCTGGGTCTCAGTTTACTCGTTGTTCTGGTGGGGATGGTTGTTGCGCCTGCCTCTGTTTGGTAGGGATGAAACGAAATTAAACGAAATAAGACCAGTAAGTTGCTTTGGCTCAGAGTAAGCCTTCAACAAATTACCGGGGTCACCCAGGAGCTTCAGCAGCCCTGACCCCCAGAGCAGAGCTTGTTCCCTCAACCCCTCCTCCCCTCCCCACCCTCTCGTCCCCAAAGCAAGCAAGAGCACAGCGATGGGGTCTGACTCATTTGTGTCCCCTGAGCCAGCCAGGGCTGGGTGCAGGCTGGGTTCCAGAAAATCTGTGTGGGCTGTACTCCTTCTCAGAACTGGCAGGACCCTCTAGAGATGCAGAAGCTGAAACCAAGGGATCAGAGTCAAGCGATGGAGTCAGGACACCATGTGGTCTGGGTTGGGATGGGGTGGCTGGAGCCAGGATCTGCTCTTGAATCCATTTTGCAGATTCTTTCCAGATCTTGCTTTGACAAAGCTGCGTTGAGCCTCTAGGAGTGGACAAGAGGAGCTTTGAATGTTGCAGTTTTCCGTGAGGGACTGCACGGGCCTCGATAAAATGCCGAATGGGCAGGAAGGAGGGCAGAGGCTCCTGCTGAGGGAGAGCCCCAACCTGGGCCTGCCCCCCTGCTCCTTTAGTGTGCGTCAAGTCCATCCAGGGGAAGTGACAGTAAATTTCTGATGAATGAATTGGCACTGAGTGAATGGGCTCACCTCCCAATAGCCAACTAAGAACAGTTCCGGGTGGGGGAGATCAGGGTGCATCTTCCACTGCCCCCTCTCATGCCAATGGGTCACCTGGGCCTGTCTGTCCAACCTCGGGGCTCCCTTAACTCTGTGTCTGCCTCCATGCCCACCACTCTGGACAGTCCTCTTAAATGGATCTTCCTTCCGGTCTTACCCCTTTTCCCCTTCCACTTCTCCACGGCCAGAGAGATCTTTCTACAGCACAATCTGACCTATCCTGCCTGTGCACAGAAGCTTTCAATGGCCCTCCCCCTCCCCCACAGGGTCCTAAGAAAATCTTAGGCTTGCTAAAATTTGAGAACTACGACCTGGGGCAGTTTCATAGTATGCCTTTGAAATTCACACAGCTTTGGGTCCGAATCCCGTTTCTACCATTTATTAGCTCTCTGGTCTTGTTTCCCCATGTGTCAAATGGGGGTGTTGTAAGAAGTAAATGGAACAGGGTTTGTGATGACCCCGGGACATCCTGGCCAGCCCGGGCGGTGGTAGTTGGTACCCATCCCCATTTTACGATAAAGAACGAGGTACCCATCCCCATTTTACGATAAAGAACGAGTTCGGCGAGGTTAAGTCGCTCGTGCCCAGGGCCCCACAGCATGTCAGTGACGAGCTCGGACTGGAGCCCGCCCGCACCCAGGCCCGGGGCGAGGGGAGGTGGAGCGCAGCGGACACTAACCCGGCCCCTCTGGGCATCCATACCCCGCCTGCCTAGGTGTGTACAGGGGCTGCGGCAGGGGCTCCTCGTGTGGCAGCAGGAGGCGCCCTCCGAGTTTGACCTGGCTTATGCCGACTTCCTAACCCTGGACATCAGCATGCTGCGGCTCTTCGAGACCTTCTTGGAGACGACACCACAGCTCACGCTGGTGCTGGCCATCGTGTTGCAGAGCGGCTGGGCCGAGCCCTACCAGTGTGAGTGATGGGCCGGTGGCCAGGCCCCCTTTATGGCGTCGGGGGGCTTCCGACGAAGGGCAGGAGTGTTTTCACTCTTCGATCAAGGCTGCTTAGAAAACAGGAGGATGTCCCTTAGGCAGCTCTGCGTTCAATTCGGAAGTTGCTCCTTGACCTTCCGAGTGAGGACGGGTGGTAGCGTGGGCGGCCGTGGTGGCTGGTGCTCCTTCTTCTCTCCACCTGACCCGAGAGGCAAGAGGTGCAGGGAGGAGAAGTGATCTGCACCGGGGCACACAGCACTCACTGGGCACATACTTCTGTGTCTGTTTGCAGCTGCCGGTGTCTAGGGTCAGGGCTACCTGGGGACGGTCTCCACTGTGTGTGTAGGGGAGGCAGGGAGCGAGGGAAGAGACAGATTTCCCTTTTTATTTCGCGAACATTTAGTTAGCTGCTGTTATGTGCCAGGTACTGGGCTGCTGGGGACCCCAAGGGAGCAGAATGTTTCGTACCCTGGAGGAGCTCAGAGACAAGGCAATAGAGAATGACTGTGTGCTAAGACCCCAGACAGAAGGGGGTGAGGTGTTACAGGTCCCCTGGGTGGGGGGTGACTCTAGGGGAAATTCTGGCTGGAGCTCGCAGGGCACGTGTTCCTGGCCTACCCGATATTGTGGGCTAAGCTTGTCCAGGTCAGCGAATGCAGCACGCTAGGCAAACGGCAAGGATATCAGCCCCACTGAGACCTAGTGTGGGCTAGTTAGGACGTTGCCCCAGATCTGCTTCCAGGGTGGGGGTGGCTTCCTGGTCCACAACAGGCTCCCAGTAAACATCTGTTGACGGACCGCAGTGGGAAAGGGCCGGGGAGTGAGCATTCTAGAGACATTCCAGTGCTGCCTTCACCCCGCCCTGGAGATCCTGGTGCTTCTAGTCCAGGAGGTGGGAGAGGATCTCCACTGTAAACTGCGAGTGTTGAAAAATCAAGACGAAGGCCCAGTCCCAGCCGGGACGTTCTATCTGTGTGGCAGGGCCCGGCCCTCCCAGCCTGGAGGGTAGCTTCCGCCACAGGCTGGTTGCCACCCCTGGGATTTCCTGCTTCCATTTCTGAGACTACAAACAGGGAGCCAGGATTGCTGATTTTTAGTGCCAAGAAAGGTTCTTCTGGGAAAGGACGGGTTACAGGGCCCTGAACGGTCCTCAGGGTGTGGCCAGGGGCCCGGGGCGCCAGATGCTGGGTGACAAGGGTGCAGATGGGGGTATGTAAGTCGCACAGCCCAACCCCCCCCTGCAATCCTGGAAGAATCTCATCGTGGGAGCACCTGAAAAGTTATGCCTTGCGGCGAAGGGCAGACTCCCTATCTGAAGCCCTATTGGCTCTATTTTCAATTGTGTGAACAGATGTTCTCCAGCTGCAGTTCCCCTTCAGCCATCAGGGGCTCTGACACCCGCCTTGGGGTGGTACCCGTGCCTTCTAGGGAGGGCCAGGCAGGCTGCCCGCAGGGCTCACCTGTGCCCGCTTCCTCTCCACAGGGGTCGGCATCTGCACGTCTTTCGTGGGCATCTCGTGGGCGCTGCTTGACTACCACCGGGCCTTGCGCACCTGCCTGCCCCCCAGGTCGCGCCTGGGGCTGGGCTCCTCTGTGTTCTACTTCCTGTGGAACCTGCTGCTGCTGTGGCCCCGAGTGCTGGCCGTGGCCCTCTTCTCTGCTCTCTTCCCCCACTACGTGGCCCTGCACTTCCTGGGCCTGTGGCTGGTGCTGCTGTCGTGGGTCTGGCTGCAGGGCACGGACTTCATGCCAGACTCCTGCTCAGAGTGGCTGTACCGGGCCACCGTGGCCACCATTCTGTACTTCTCCTGGTTCAACGTGGCCGAGGGCCGCACCCGAGGCCGCGCCACCATCCACCTGCTGTTCCTCCTGAGTGACAGCGTCCTCATGGTGGTCACCTGGTTGACCCACGTCACCTGGCTGCCCAGTGGGATCCCACTGCAGGTGTTGCTGCTGGCGAGCGGCATCTGCTTCCTCTTGGGCCTGGCTCTGCGGCTCGTGTACTACCGCTGGCTGCACCCGAGCTGCCGCTGGGAGCCCGACCGGGTGGATGGGGCCCAGGGCGTCCGCTCCCTCGAGGGGCATCCGCTGCCTCACAACAGGCGCTTGACCCACTTGGCTCAGAACTTTTTCCCCAGGGTTAGGGATGAGGCTGCTTTGCCACAGAAGGGAGAGGTGAATGGGGTCCTTTGAGGCGAGGCCCGAGCCGGCAGGCACAGACCAGATGGAATCAACTGGTAGAATGCAGAAGATAAGCTAATGATGCTGCTACGGGCCTGGATTCCCTCAGGAAGCGCTTGGTGACTGATGTGCCAGGCGCTGGAGACCAGAGTTGAGTAAAGACACAGGCCTGCCTTCGAGGATGAGAACGAGATGAGAACAGCAGGGCCCTGGAGAGTCAAGGGCTCCAGTTACATACAAGACACTTTGGGAGGAAAGAAGAGACCCCCTTCCCCACCCGACCCCACCCCCACCAACCAGTAGAGCTGGTACCCCAAAGCTCCTAGAGATGGTATTTTCACCTCCCTGGCCACCTCTAAAATAATAGGTGGAGGTGCTGTCCCACGGCTTGGCTCCCCGATCCTGGGCTAGAAGGCCCCGGATCCCCAGGATGTGTTCAGAATTCTTCCTCTCTGCCTCGCCTGTCATTGTGTTCATCCAACAAATGTTTACTGAGAGCATTCTCTGTGGCAGGAATATTCTATCCTTGGAGGCTGGAACAAGATCAGCTGCCACCTGAGCTTTATCCCTTACCCTCTCCAGCTACCCCTGAGCGGGCTGTCATGCTGGAAGCCGGGGATGTCCAGCTAGTGGCCCCCGTCAGCCTCCCCAAGGCCTCCGTGCAACCGGCCCAGCCTCTGGCCCTGCTCTCAAGCGGCCACCTTTCAACCAAGTGCTTGTGAGCCTGTGGCCTGGGCCATGGCTCAGCCCGTTGAGTATTTTTCTACTTTAGGCAGTACACTTTCTACCTCAGAGTCTATGTGAGAGGAAGAGAAGGTGTGTGCATATGTGTCTTTGCAAGTGAAGGACACGTATGTGTTGTTTTTGTTTAACAGTATTATTAGATTATTATTAAAACCTCATGAAACCCTCCAACCTAGTTGTGTCATTAATCTGCAGAGTTCAAAGACACCTGGAAAGAAGGGTCAGGGGCATGAAGTCCACCCTTAAAATTGGTAAGGGCCCTGGGACCAGAGAAGAGGGCTGGTTCTCAACCTTGTTTTCCAAGTTTCGGGAGCTGGTAAGCCACTGAGGGGTTGGTCGTCACCTGGTGGGCATCAGAACCCAGATCTGGGCCCACTCTCATGTGTGCTGCTAGCCAGCTTTGCTGCTAGGCCTGGCAGGAGCCACAAATGCCTCTGGTACCAGGAAGTGAATCCCAGAGCCCGCGTGAAGAAAGGGACGTGTGCTGGGAGCTCAGGGAGGGTGTAAGCGAAGAGGCGACTTAGGGGATGTAGATGTGGGCCACGATGCCGGGGGGGTGGAACTTTTGTTGCTCTGGAAGATCTGTGGTATGCGGAAACCAGGGAACAGGAAAAGGGCACTGGAGACCGAAGGAAAAGGTGCAGTCCTCCCTGTGAGGAGGCCAGGATCGTCTCCGTTCTATTACTCACTTTATTTTATTTTATTTTATTTTATTTTATTTCTTTTAAGATTTTTTTTTTATTTATTTATTTGAGACAGAGAGAATGAGAGAGAGCACATGAGAGGGGGGAGGGTCAGAGGGAGAAGCAGACTCCCCGCTGAGCAGGGAGCCCGATGCAGGACTCGATCCCGGGACTCCAGGATCATGACCTGAGCCGAAGGCAGTCACTTAACCAACTGAGCCACTCAGGCGCCCCTATTACTCATTTTAGTGGAGACCCAATAAACAGGATAAGCAGAACTGTTTGAGATAGTGTAAAAGATAAAGCAGGGAAGGGCCCAGGGAGAGGGTGAATGCGTGTTGTGGGTGGGAGTTCCGGTTCTGTATGGCATGGCTCAGGAAGGCCTCCCTAGAAACTGATTCAGCCCTCAAGGAGGGAGGGCGAGAACCATGCAGATGCACTCTACCCCCGGAACCAAATCAGCAGGGCTTGGCGGGGCTTGCGGGAGGGCTTGCACAGCTATGCTGGCCTGGAGCCAAGGATGACAGGTGGTGGAGGGGGGTGGAGGGAGCCCTGGGGAGATGATGCTGGTGCTTTTTGACATACAGAGAAAGGTAAGGCCGGAAGGATCTCCAGGATCATCCCGTCCAGTGATTTCCAGACTTGAATTTCACGGACCAGTAAAGTGGCCAACATGGCTGCTGACTTAATTTTAACAAAAAAAAAGGCAGTAAAGCTGGAGTGGGGGGGTGGGGGTGGGAGGGATGGGTGGCTGGGTGATGGACACTGGGGAGGGTATGTGCTATGGTGAGCCCTGTGAATTGTATTAAGATTGATGAATCACAGACCTGTACCCCTGAAACAAATAATACATTAAAAAAAAAAGGAAGTAAAAACTACCAACTATTATCATTATCATCTCCTACTAGGATATAATGGCCTTAGAGAAAGGATCATTCCTTTTTCTTTTTTTTTTTTTTGATTGAGGTATAATATACAGTATTATAAAAGGACCGTTCTTTTTTTTTTTTTTTTTAAAGATTTTATTTATTTATTCATGAGAGACAGAGAGAGAGAGAGAGAGAGGCAGAGGGAGAAGCAGGCTCCCAAGGAGCAGGGAGCCTGATGTGGGACTCGATCCCAGGACCCTGGGATCATGACCTGAGCCGAAGGCAGACGCTTAACCATCTGAGCCACCCAGGCGCCCAAAAGGACCATTCTTTTAACTGAATACATTTAAACACACATAAACACACCCATAGGTGAAATCATTATAGTTTCTCCCGTCACTGAGAATATCAAGGGTTGAGACCCCAGAGGGTGGGCTTAGTGCCCAACCCAGCCTCGGACATAGGTCCTAAGGGTTTCACTAAAACAAATATTGGTGCTGTTGACTTTAACAAGCTTCCTGTCATACATAGAGATTAGGTTCAGGGGAGATGGCATATATGCTCAAACAGAAGACACAGTGTTTTAGGCAATTCCCTACTTTTCCGGAGAAAAATCCCAAAGCTGTGTGCTTTAAATGTTTTGGACAAACGCTCATCTGTAATTGCTAAATGAAATTGTCAAATGATGATGATATGTAATTAAATTGAAACAACATACAAGGTATACCACCTAAAATCTGTGGAATGAAGCATTCATTTGTATATAAAGTTTATAGAATTAATAGTTTTTAAAAGATGGCAGTGACAATATTTGCAATTAGAAATTTCAAGATTCCCATCAAGAATTTCTTTTAAAGGTCAAGAAACTTGTTTTTGAAGAATAAAACCATACTGGATTACTAATTTTTACCTGCCAGCAAAAGGTTTTTGAGAAATGCGCAGATGTTATACTTACTATAGGGGAGATGGAGATGTTTACTCATAGGGCTTGAAAAGCAAATACTCCAGTATTTGTACTCATGACCAAGTTAAAGATGTAACAACTAACAAGTTTGCTTCAGCTATGATGTGGTTCGAAATATGTACCTTCCAACGAAAAAACTTAATGCCTAGAATACAAGGCAACCCCCTTTTCTAAGGAGGAATTAATTTGGAGAAAAATACATCTTAGAGTACTTGGAAGCTAGACCCGAATTCTGTCCTCCTTCATTGGAATAAAAGGCAAAGGGATTCTCGACTGTTTTCCAGACCAGTGAGGGACAGTCAGACCCAATCTGAAGAAACGAAATGAGCAGAAGTAGTTGACGTGACAGGAAATCAGGCCAAATCAAGTGAGGTTTGAGATCAGTTTGTCAGTTTTATTGCTTTTGCATTTTAAGCTCATCACAGCAAGGTAGTGATTTCTCTTTAATAATTAAATTTCAGCACATTTGACAGCAAATGAGACCTCTTATCATTCCAGTCCTAAACTTTAAAAGGCAATAGATTTTAGAAACAATTAAGAAATAAACTTTCCCTTGCAAATTATTTTAAAATATTTTTTTTATTTCCCCATGTACATTTGTTTATACCAAATGGTTAGTCTTAATTTTTGATGAAATTAATGACCGGGTTATTGAAGAGTGCCATCTTTCTAATGAGCTCTAAAGATTTTTTTACGAAGCCCTACTTAGGAGCCTACTTAGCTGGGCAACTGGGCTGATCCTACTCAGAAAAGACACAGGAGCAAACTGTATAGAAAATAAAAACTTTATTTTTTCAAGTTTATAAGATAGTTCCCATTACATATAACATTATGGTCAAGGACTCTACACAGCCACGAATGCCCGCAGTCACATAAATATATCCGATCCACTCAATGCCTTTTCCTGCTAAATGAGGCATCTGAAGTCCAGAGGGTCATGTTTTGAGTAGAAGTTGTCCTTAATGAGATGGCTCCTGTCAGTGCATTAGGGACTAGCCATGGAGCCTTGCTTGCTGGAGCTAAGTCAGAGGAGAGGAAGGAACAGAGGGCCTGCAAATTGGGGATGGGACAGAACTACATTTTCTCTCATAGTTAAAGATATTTTAGAATCCCAGAATTCAGATTTGGCTTCTTTGTAAGTGTGAACATCTGGGGACTTCCAAGTTTTGGATGAAAAAGGAAGCCAATTTAGTGGTAAGTAGAAACCTGCTCAAAGAAGGGCCCTAACTGTCCCTCTTGTACAGGAGTGAGGAGAAGAAGGCCCCAGCTCACCACCCTTGGCTTAGACCACCGTCCTCCCAGGAAGAGGAAGAATGTGGCCCTGCCCCTCTCCCCATCCCCCTCGGTTCAGTGGCACTGACACCCATTCAAGGTAGTGAACATCTAGATGCTCCATATGCTGCCGCTAGAGTTTGCCAATCAGATTCTACTTAGAGCTTGAAAAGTGAGTTTGTATAAACTGCGAACAAGCTGTGGCACAAGTCTCCTGGGACACTGGCTTTGCCCCTCAACTTGCAGAGCAGAAGACAGGACATCCCAAACCAAATAAAAGCCCAAACAGGCATCGAAGTCTGGAACAGGCATCTATTCTCCCGGACACCACCAGCTGCCCGAGGGGCACCAGACAGGGTGATGCTAAGGCACAGTCAGTTTTACATTCGGAAGTCAAGCCACCTCTTAAACCCAGGACACATGTGACAACTCCAGATCCCACACTAGAGACAGTCCTCACCATGAAACGTGCAGACCCATCTTACAGAACCCACAGTGCCCGGCTGGGGGAAAGACTCATCATGTGGCTAATTTCATGGGGACACTTTCTAGTAAAGAGGGCTTCCCCTTGAAGAAATGACCCACGGTATCCTTTTGTCCTCAGCTTCCAAGAGCTCTTGGTGCTACCCACTTCTTTTCCTTTCCAGATCTTTGTGCTGGAACACAGGGTAAAAGAACGCTGTGTTCCCTGGATAACTCATTTTGGCAGAGAGGAATCGAGAAGCTCTCATTTTCTGTCTGTTCTATAATGAGGGCAGCAACAACCAGAAGAAAGCAGAAGTGCTCTGCTGGGTAGAGTTTCCTCACCTCTCTTCACCAATTTCAAGTTCCTTTTGCAAAGACCCAAGCTGGGGAGTCAGGGCCGGGTTGGGGAGTGAGGGAAATGCCGTTGAAAGAGGAGTCCAACTCATAGGGATAAAGAGCTTCTCCCAAAGGGCAGGGAGAGGGAAGTGTTTGTGTGTGGCCCTGTGTGCGTGACGGGGTACCACTCCACAGCCTCACAAGCCTGAAGTACAGCACCAACCAGGTGGCCTATGTCCAGTGCAGGGAACCAACAGTTATACTGCCAGTATGGGGACACCTTAGGGCCTGCAAGAAAGGCCCATCATAGAGCTTTCTAAGATCAATTATCAAGCAAGGCAAAGCAGCATGTGGACAACTATGCCGAACACAGACCATGGAAGGCTGGCCTCCAACTGCACGCCCCATCTCTTCCCCACCTGCCAGAGGCGGCAAGGTCAGAGAGGCAGCTAAGTAATGAGCACTGACTTCAGCTCCTTCCCAAAAACTGCTTCCCTAAAATTGTGAGTAATGGAGCACTTTCTCAATCAGTTCGGGAGGAATGTGTCTATCAGTTTTTCTCTGCTGCCATTTGGGTGGTCTGGCGTCGGAAGGAGCCTG